TGATGCCTACTCTCTCATTTCTCCCGCTAACTAGTGGCCCCCACTTGTCAGATTCTTCACTCTTATCTTCTTCGCGCTTGGAATCTTGGTCTCGCTTTAATGCCAGCCTCTTCACTCAACCGAGTAATGGAGGTCTTCAAGGAGGCCTTAAGGCCAGTAGTGACACCCTAGCAATAACCGTCATTCCTGTCCCCGCTTCTACCACCCATCTCTGCTCTATAAAAGAGCTAGCCAAGCCCCTCCTTTCTTCCCTTTTGCTCTCAACTCCAGTTCACCAATCACCACCTCAATCTGTCTGTTCTGGTGTCCATCATCATCAACACCTCCTTTAGGCTTCGCATGGTAACACCGCTATCGAAGGTGGCCTCCTTTCTTCCTTTCATCGTGATCCATGCGAGTTTGAGTTCATTGGACATCATTTTCTCTCTCTAGTCTGCCTCTACCGGTGAACTTCTCATCAGCATGATTGGCTTCATAGAGTTTGTGGTAATGTCCACTCCATCTCAGCTCAATATGCATTATGTTTAAGGTTTTGAAGCGTTGATTTTACGATTATCCAGCAAACTCTCACCGATAATTATGGTGAGTTGCCATAGCCGTATTGCTTGGTCGTCGTGTTCTTGCACACTTTGTGGATCTAAACTTCACTGGATGACATAGATCGTGTTGGGATGCTGACGTAACCTTCGCTGGATGACGCCAACGCTAGCATGGTTTTCTTGCAGCTCGTCGGTACTTGCCATGGATGGCCACGTATGGCTAAGGCTGGGGAACGGTGTAAACGCAAAGCAAGAAGCACTTGCTAGAAGAGAATGAAGGGAAGACACCAGGTGGGCGCATGGAGTGAGTTTTCATGGGTTTTCCTGCTGGAACCGGCACCGGAAGGTGCTGAGGGGAGTTGGGGAATTAGGGAAGAGAGGTTGGCTAATTTGAGACCTTATCCTCTAGTGATATGAGTGACATGGAGGATCCCTTGTGCCTCTTTGCCAGAGGTACGCCATTGTCATCCTCCTCCTGACCGTCCGCCTCATCCTTTTTCTCGTACTCATCCTCGTCCTTGTCCTCATTCTCCTTGTTGTCTGTCGCCTCACCATAGAACCTCTCGTCTTCTGTCGTTCAGGGAAAACTAGGTGAAATGTCTTCACTTCATCCTATCTCGTTGTTGCTTTCCCATACTTCTGATCCTTCATCGTTTGAGGAGTCGTTGTCGGGCAGCTTGAAGCCAATCATGGTGCGCGTGCAATTTTGGCTCGGTGTATATGTTCTTGGAGCAGAGAAAGAAGAGTGAAGGTTTTTAGATGGTAGATTGCTCCTATTTCTATAGAATTGTGAGCGCCGCTTTAGTTTCCTGACATCAATGAGGATGAATGGCCGTGACACTCTAGGGGCACAAAGTTTCGGACGTGTGAGACCGAACAGTTATGCTACATCACGAATGCAAACGAGGAGCAATCAAAGAAGAGTCGATGAAGCGACATGACATCAATGCATGCTTCCCCTCTTTCCTAGGCTGGCCCAAAAGGCCCGCACAATGACCACAAACGGTGCCCATGGGGAATAGGGAATCTTTTGGAGTGGATAGTCAAACGTAGATATACTCCATCTGCCCCAAAATAAATGATTTTCTAAAAAAATAGATGATAGGCTAAAGAGATTGGTAAAAGCACATGTACCCTCATCTCCTTTCCTTTTCCAGAGGATATCTCCTAGATTTGGAAGAAGTTATTGTCTGCATACACCTGTGGTTAGTTGCCACATTAGGAGATAATGCCCCATGTTTTTATATATATAGAATGTTAATTGTTTTAGTAAAATTTAAACCTTATTAGAAAGTTATTTATTTTGAGACGAATGAAGTAGAGGGTAAAATCTAGAGTGTTTCATGGAGATGGTCCTAGGATTTAAGAAGTCAACTTAAAAAATTATCACTTCTAATCCCTCTATTTCAAGCTGTAAGTTGTTCCGGCTTTTCTAGATACATAGTAAAAGTTATAAATCTTGACATATCATATATCTAGATCACTAGATACATAACAAAAGTTGTGTACCAAAAAAACAAGAACAACTTACAATTTGGAATGAGAGAGTATTGAGGAAAGTTTATCTACATATTTATAGTGTATAAAAATTATATAATAGATTCTTGCTTCTTAGATTTCTTGATATGATTGTCCTGTTCTGCAGCACTACTTCAGCAGTACTTTTTAGCAAAAGAACAATGTTTTACTCTCACAATAAATCAACATAAACATTAGCATAAGCCAAATTTCAGCGAAACGAACAGTATCAATGATATATATATATATATATTTTTAGAATACTGGGTGCAAAGTCCAGTTTAATAATTTTTCTAGATTCATATAAGCTTTATTTATTATAAAAAACAGTAAGAATACTTTGAAGGAAAGGGATGGCTGTTGCATCTCATATTAATTGTATCAAGTTATGTGTATTTAATACTCCCTCCATTCAAAAATTGGGGGCGTATTACCAAAAAAAATTCAAAAATTGGGGGCGTATAATGTATGGACCTCTTCCCCATGCGCCGGCGCTCATCGTACGAGACTTGGCCTCCTCGTAACTTTCGCGGCATTCATGCGGCGCCGTCTCCCGTCGCTTCAAGTGCCTCGCTCCGTTCCCTCCCGTTAGCGATCCTGGCCGCGCTGGAGTATAAAAGTCACGCCAAAGGAAGTCGCGAGTCACGCCGCCGCCGAGTCACGTACGCGCTGAGAGCCACGCCGCCGAGTCGCGAGTTGCTCCACGCCGCCACGCCGCCGAGTCGCGAGTTGCTCCACGCCGCCACGCCGCCGCGCTGCGAGTCGCTCCACGCTGGCGCGCTGCTGCAAGACGATGGATCGCCATGACGGCGACGGCAAGGTCTCGTACGTGCGTGGCGTCAACTGGGCACGCACGCTAACGGTGTTTTGGGCGGGGTTAGCGGACTGTTTGCTCGGTAATCCAATAGACGCGGGCAGAGTAAATGGAAACAGCTATTTAAGGAGCAATCCTGCATGCGCCAGCTTTCCTTAGTCATCGCGGCACACCCAAATACGCTCCCAATTTTTGAATGGAGGGAGTACTAGCTAAAATATATTCTTAATCATGTTTACATCGACTAATATTTATTGCTGTACTTTTCATTCCATAGCTGTCTAGACTAGCTGACATCAGCTGCTATCCTCTGTTGCATCACTTTTTCATGTGCTATTCTTGTTTGTCGCACTGGCGCCCCGTTCAGCCGGTGGGATGGATCTCTTAAAATACGGAACAGCGTGTCGCGGTGCCGTGCGGACTTGTTCCAACGATGCTACTTTGAAGGAAAGGGATGGCTGTTGCATCTCATATTAATTTTATCAAGTTATGTGTATATAATACTAGGTCTCGTTCACTTTGTAAAAAAAAGTGAACTTGATGAATAGTACCATTTTCGTTTTATTTGGCAAATATTGTCCAATCGTGGATTAACTAGGCTCAAAAGATTTATCTCGTGATTTCCAACTAAACTGTGTAATTAGTTATTTTTTTATCTATATTTAATACTCCATACAAGCAACTAAAAATTGATGTGATAGAGAGAGTGAAAAAACTCTAGATGACATCTAAACAAGGCGCTAGCTAAAATATATTCTTAATCCTGTTTACATCGACTAATATTTATTGCTGTACTTTTCGTTCCATAGCTGTCTAGACTAGCTGACATCAGCTGCTATCCTCTGTTGCATCACTTTTTTATGTGCTAGGCCTCGTTCACTTAAAAAAAATAGATGAACCCGATGAATAGTATTATTTTTGTTTTATTTAGTAAATATTGTCTAATCTTGGATCAACTAGGCTCAAAAGATTCATCTCGTGATTTCTAACTAAACTGTGTAATTAATTATTTTTTTACCTACATTTAATACTCCATACAAATGGTTAAAAATTAATGTAATAGAAAAAGAGTGAAAAAACTTGCAATTGTCGCACTGGCGCCCCGTTCATCCGGTGGGATGGATCTCTTAAAATACGGAACAGCCTGTCGCGGTGCCGTGCGGACTTGTTCCAACGATGCTAGAGAGTAGGGGGTGTTTGGTTCATCAGGTGTAAATGTAGATTACTTATAACAGGGCTTCACTTTACTAGTGAAGTTATTTTTTTTTTTTTGGCTTCGGCTCTACGAACAGCTCCATCGGTAGAGCTAAAGCGATTTTGGTAAACCGTTTGGTAAAATTGGCTTTCTCGAATACGTGTTTTAGGGGCGCCTAGAGACTATTTTATAAAAGCGGGAGAAGCCACTATTTTTTTTTTCACCCCAAAGCTCTGTGAGAGCATATTTTAGGGAATGGAGTCGTTTAGTTTACCCGTTTTGAAAAATGCTGCTGAGAAGCCCTGCCAAACGGGGCCTAAATACATAAATTAAGACTATTTTATAAGACGAATTTTTTAAATCTAATAGTCCATAGTTTAACAATATGGTGCTATAATAAACATAAATTTATCTCGTAGATTACTGATGAATTCTATAATTTATTTTGTTATTAGTATCTAAACAGCCCGTACGATATTTTTAAACTTTAGTCGCAGAATCAAATCCAGACACCCCTGAGAGGCAAAGGAGAGGATCGGAGGAAGGAAACAGCTTCGAAAGCAGAGGCAAGCAGTCACTCGCCAGCCTAGCAGCTACCGCATCTCCCGGTGTCGGCCAGGGCCGCCTCCAACCTCCATACGACCACGCCCAATTCTCCGCTGGATCAGTGTGCCGCCACCCACCCCACCTCCCAGTCTCCCAGTCGCCTCCGCTGCGGCCCTCTGGTCAGACGCGCGCATAGATAGAGGGGAACCGGCACACGCAAAAAGCCAAGTAGCCTGACTGCGTCTTCTTGCTTCCTCCCGTGCTTCGTTTCTTTGACACACCGGCGGCCGGGCCGCCTCCTATCGTTCGTTCGCTCTCTTCTTGGGTTGCTGCACGCCTCTATTCCTATTCTCGGGTTGGGTGGGGCGAAGAAGCGGAAAAGGGCAGGATGAAGTCCGGCGAGCGGCCGAAGCTGGTGCGGGGCCTCCGGCAGGAGTCTCAGCGGTTCCGGCTTCTAGTCATCGTCGTCGGATTCTTTCTCGTCTCTGTGACCTTCGTCGTCATCTCCAAGCCCGACGCCATCCTCTTCAGCCGTAAGTGAAGAATTCAGAGACTCGGAATTCGATTGTTTCACCTCACCTTGCCTTCCCTTTCGAGCGCGACTGCCTACCTTCAATTTCGTTATTAACTAACTGAACTTGAACTGTCGCGTTCGCTTCTCTTGAGCAGTGAACGGCAAGCTGCCGGTGGACCAGGCGCCGACGTCCATCCTGATCCAGCAGAAGGTTAACTCGCCTCCCGCCACCACCCTTAGGACCTCCACCGACGCACTCCGTGAGCAATCCTCCGTCGAATTCTCGAGACTTCGTTTTGTCTTTGAAAATTACTGAACTTTGGGCGTTTCTTCGTGCAGCAGGTGGAGACCCTAGAGTGGTCGATGACGAAGCTGATCCAAAACCACAAGGTTAATTTCTTTTTATTTATTGATTAGTTCTATCTGAAAAGTATTCTTTCTTGCTCAATTTTGCTTATTTACGCTGTTGTTCGATTGACGTGTGGTATTGCTTCTGCCTTCAATCCCCTCTGGCTGCAGGGTTCAAAGGCGAGGAGGAAGAGAGCCGGGTACTGAGCGAGCCGGACCCGACCAGCGGGATGACGGAGCTGACCCCCAACAAGGACGGCAGCGGCCGTAAATCCGACGGGGAGAAGTTAGGTAAGGCGTCGCAGTTGAGCGGCACATGATTTCCTTGTTCGGACCGGACACACGATTCCAAATTCTTCGTGCTCGTTTTCGTTTTCGTTTCGTTACAGTCGGTGGGTGTTCGCAGTCGCAGATCCATGATTTGACACTCGGACCTCAGACGGGTAAATTGAAATCCTCCACCCTGTTCGCTTTTCTCATTCAATTTTGCCTTGGATTGTTCTTCCAGGCGGCGGAGGTGACGGCGAGGGGAAAAGGATGGAGGAGCGTGGGCACGCGGCGGACAAGCATAAAGTCACGCTCCCAACCGTTTCCAATTACACTATTCATGACACCGAGGACACGGAAAATGCCAAGCGTGACGGTGTGTACCCCATTCCTATCTTTATTTATGCTTCGCGTATTGTTTCTGCTCCATGAAAGAGCTCGATTTGCCAAAACACAGCAACTAGCTTAGAATGTCTTGCTCTGAGCTTCACAGCAACTAGCTTAGAATGTCTTGCTCTGAGCTTCACAGACATTTCTAATTTGGACTAGTAACCAACTGGGCACTGTCTAGAAAAAGCTGATGCAAAATGTCACACATACCCTTGTCTTAAACAATCTGGTTCGATCATTTAAACCTCTTTCATACCATGAAACAAAATTAGTGTAGAAATGTTACATATACAAAAAAATCCTCCCTCAGTTCCAAAATTTAGATCGATTTAGTTTCATCCTAAGTCAAACTTTTATTATAATCTCGACCAAGCTACAAAGGGTGCCTCTCAAGAGAAATTATTGAATGCGGGGAGTAGATTTCCAATATGCCTGTTTTAGGAAGATTTAGGTTGCATATTGGGCTGCTTCCCTTTTTTTTTTCCTTTCAGTTGACTGTTCAAGCTCATATTCTTGATGCCTAACTGTTACTAGTTTTGTTTAGGCTGTCTGTCTTTTTCCCCCCCTTGGAATCTACCAAAACCGTTTCTGTCTCCCTTGGGACGGTCCAACCGTTTCTGCCTACTACTTTGATTAAACATAGCGTGTTGTTGACACAGTACCTTTCACTTTGCAGATACAAGTTATGATCAGCAGGGGAGCAAGCCCCTGTGTGATTTCTCAAATTTTAGAGCAAACGTGTGCGAGATGCGTGGTGATGTTAGAGTTCACCCAAATGCTACATTAATCATGTTCATGGAGCCTGGCCATTCGCAGAGAGATGAGCTGTGGAAAATTAAGCCATACCCTCGGAAAGGGGACGAGTTCTGCCTTAGTCATATCACTGAGCTGACAGTGAAATCAAGCAAAGTGGCCCCAGAGTGCACCAAGTACCATGACATGCCTGCTGTGATCTTTTCCCTGACAGGCTATACTGGAAATCTGTTCCATGACTTCACTGACGTGATGGTCCCTCTTTTCACGACAGCAAGCGAGTTTAATGGAGAAGTTCAGTTCCTTATAACAGACATGGCACTTTGGTGGACAATCAAGTACCACACTGTGCTTCAGAAGCTGTCCAAGTACCCTGTGATTGATTTCAGCAAGGATGACCAGGTGCATTGCTTCAAGCATGTCATTGTCGGCCTGCATGCTTACATGGAATTCACAATAGACTCGTCGAAGGCTCCACACAACTATTCAATGGTTGATTTTAACAGATTCATGCGCAGAGCTTACTCACTGGGCAGGGACACTGTTACCGTGCTTGGAGAGTACCCTAAGGTCAAGCCAAGATTGCTCATAATCAAGAGGCACCGTACAAGGATGTTCCTTAACCTCGATGAGATCATTGCAATGGCTGAGGAGCTCGGCTTTGAGGTGGTTATCGATGAGGCCAATGTGAGCTCTGATATCTCCAAGTTCGCCAGGCTGGTTAACACGGTGGACGTTATGATGGGTGTCCATGGAGCTGGGCTGACAAACTGCGTGTTCTTGCCACAGAATGCCACACTGATTCAGATTGTGCCATGGGGAGGGTTGGAATGGGTATCCCGCGCTGATTTCGGCAACCCGGCGGAGCTGATGGGGCTTCACTACAAGCAATACAGCATCGGCGTGGACGAGAGCAGCCTCACGGAGCAATATCCGAGGGACCATGAGATCTTCAAGAACCCTATTGCTTTCCATAAAAACGGGTTTGACTTCATCAGGCAGACCTTCATGGACAAGCAAAACGTGAAGCTGGATTGCAAGAGGTTCAGGCCTATTCTATTGGAGGCACTGGATAACCTCAACCCATAACTGGATCAATTGGTTGTTGGGCATAGCAATAGAGATTACTGAATACTGTCCATTTTTTTTCTTTACCATTCGTTCCTTTTAGTAAATCTCTTGTTCGTTCTGTCCCTGCCTGAGAAGGTCCGCATTGTGGAAATTTTAGGAGAAAATGGCTTATAAGCTGTGTGTACACTGTATAAATTGCTGCCGGTGCAAAAGTGGAACAAATTCATCCTAATCATATATAGTGCCATGTGCGATTTGTCTTTTTAGAGAACATGTGCGATATGTCTTCTTTCATCCTGCAACACTGCAGTATTTTGGGTTGGAGTACCAGTTGACTCGCATGTTGGTTTACATATTTGTACAAACATAATCGCTACAGTTGTTACAAAGCGATGTGCTGAGGTGTCTCATGAATAATGTTGATTGGTTAACTACCCTGGCTCTCATATGGTCAGCATGCAAGTACACTAGTCCTAGGATAACAATAAGATTATTGGGAAACATGTGATTATGCCTTAGGCATGTGAAGAGAATTTTCTGGTTGCCATCCAAAGTCATACTTATCCCTTCGTTGCCATTAAAAATTATGAGTTCTCTTCACTGCCATTTATTTCTAATTTTTAATTCCCACACTGCCATCTCTGCCAATTTCCCCTCGTTGCCATCTAATTTTTTTTTGTTCCATTCACTTCTATTCACGCTACAAGGAACACTGTTTTTTGCCACTTTTGCCACAACTGCTCCTCCGTAGTTCGCTTTTCTGAAGAAAAAAAAAGAGTAGACCCATGGCGACCGGCAGTCGTAGCAACCCGAAGACGTATCCGCCAGCGGCTCCGGCGGATGGACCTAAAGGCATGATGTCCTGAACGCCCGAGACATGAAGAAGAAGACGACTTTCACTGGCGACCCACACCAACACCGAGGTGGATGAGACCAAAGCGAGGAGGAAAGCAAAGGCGAGTTTTCACCAGGAGCTTGACACAACAACTGGCGGGGGTGAGCGGCTCCGACGGATGGTGGCCAACAACGAAGCCTCTAAGGAGGGCATGATGTCCACAGACGGCAGCAATGTTGAAGAGGGCAAAAGAAGGACTTTCACCCCAGAACCGGACCCAATGACCCGCGCGACGAACTAATCCTTCGGGACGGATCGCCTAAGAAGGTGAATGATGCATGCCGCACTGACGACCATCGGTGTAACACCCGGGTGTTTAAAATACTAAACCGGCGACATGTCATCATATGCATTGCAAAACATTTGGCATTTGGTGAAAACTTTGAGATGCATACACCAGAGTTTATATTCATGTGGTATGTGTTGAATTGTATTGGTTGACTCTAGTTCAAAGTTTGTTTGGATTTTGGGTGTCGCCAAAGAGACATTTAAATTAGAAAATCCATTTCCTAAGCATAATTTGGGGTTGATCCCAAAAGCAAAAGTGTAGACTTGGCACAGGAGTTTGTTTTGGATATTTTTTAGTTGTTATGAAAATTTGAGAGTAATTTGTGAATTTTGGCGTATGGCAATATCCGTGGACGGTGTTCACCGCCTAAGCTAAGTTAGCGGACCGCAGCGGCGGTAGTCCCGATGTCGCTAACTAACTCCAGATCCTTGAGCTTGCGCCCGCTATAAGTACCGACCTAGACGTCATCCGCCGTTTTCTTCTTCCTTTGTTTTCACCACCGCCATTGTCATCGCTCCAACAAGCTGCGTCGTCTGGAGCTGTTGCCATCTCGGTAAAGGCCGTCCTAGTTCCGTCTTTTTCCTTGGAATCCAAATACCTAACATTGGTCGCTGCGAACTTCGGCATCCACGTCTTTCTTCCTCCGCAACTTCACCGCTATGGGCGTGTCATCGTGCCGAGTCCTTCGGTGAGCCGTTGTCCTGTCCGAGCCGATTGTTGTTTACTCATTTTGCTTTGCGCCGCGGTTCTCCCTCACCGACGATCTTTGCTCCATAGTTCACCGTAGTGGCGGGACCGTAGTGGTCGGATAGTTCACCATATGGATAGTTCACCGTAGGGGGTTCCCTAATCACCAAAGTGAGTGCTAGCGTGGTCACATCGATTCACGAATATGGTTTGGTTAGTTTGGTTTGTAACCTACGAAGGAAAATTATATCTAATTTATTATTTTTGCATCCATCATCGAGCATCATGTTTCAATTCGCGCCATGTTAAACATGGCCGAAGGTGAACACGTGGTAGTTAATCAGTTTGCGGAGGAGGTTCAGGTCGGATCGAAGACTTATGAACGTCGAGGAGGCCACCGCCGTCAGCGAAGCAAGCCCGGATGCATACAACCATACCTTGTGTTTCGCTTTTGCTTTCCGTTCTTGCATTAAGCGCGAGATAAGAGCCATATGGGACCCGGATCTGCATGGCTAGCCTCCCAAACGCCTGGATCTGGCAAGTTTTAAATGGATTGGTTAATTATGGATGTGATATGGGAATGTGGAGTAATAAAGGAGGCGGCTCGGTGTGTGTGAGCCACAAGAATGGAGCTTGGGCGGGGGGGCGGGGGCTTGCATGAGCGGTAGAACTTGGCAATTTTTGGGCTACGCCGATTTGGGAGTGGAGAGATGGCGGGAATAGCGTGCCACGCGGCGTGGGGGGATTGGGTATTCTCGGGTGGCGCGGACCCGTTCTTGAGGAATAGGTTGGTATATGTAGGAGGGGACCTACATATACCCATTTGGGCCGGAGAATCGTCGTTGCCTCGGTTATGGAGCTCAACTCACTATTCATCATCGTAGTCTGGAACTTGAGAATGGTTGATGAGAAGGTGTTGGATATGAAGGGATCTCATTACGGATCGTGTCATCTTTGTATATGATTTTATGAAGTTTAAAGCTGTTGAAACAAAGAATTTTGTCAAAGAGCTTTACATAAAATAACTTTGATTATTGCTAAAACCATACCTTGAATCACTAAACTGCATTCGAAGTTCTCGCTTATTTCTAAGTCTTGTTGAACTACTCGACCCTTCTTCTTCAGATCTGTTTTGGATCGTGTTGCGGCTACCTTGTGTGACGTTGAGAAGTAATTGTGTGGCCCTTGGGTAGGGCAGCCTCATTGTGTGTTTTGGCGGACAAATGGGTTATTCTTCTTCTTACTTTTACTCTAATGTGTCTATTTGAATAAACTGTTGTAATACTACCTGACTGGTCATTGGATGATTCGGGGTTCCCCGAGGACACCGACAGACTTAAGTTACCAGGAACATATGCATTGTTGTCAAAGGTCTTTGGGACGGTGACAAATGTATGTGGGTCCTTCTTCAGGTCCTGGCGCCAGATCCGGCCATATGGGACCCGGATGGCTGGGCGGAGTTACGTGGGTCGCTGGAGGTTCGCCGCCGTGTATTCTTCGTTTGTTCGTTTGTGTCTTTGGGATTCCACCGGTAATCCTAGAATTACTTGTGAGTTTTTTTATCCGTGTTTTGACCTTTCTTTTGGCCTTTCCTGTTAATGAAAAACAGGTAAAAGACTCGATCACGAAAAAAGTCGTAGCGACCCATGCAACGATACTTAGCAGTCCTTAGGCGACCCCTCGTGGGTGTGTGAGGCACAGTGGCAACGGCCAACGTCAGGGCGACACAAGCTGAGGTGTCATTGAGCATGTCGACGATGGCGTGCTCCACGGGCAAACCTCAAGGCTGTCCATCAGAGCAGCAGCGGGTGAGAGCATGGTCGCAGCGAAGCGGGCGGAGCTCGCCGCGTGGCCATGGGCAGCTACGAGACGCCAGCGGGACTACGGCGAGGGCCACTCGTGGGCCACCAGCAGTGCGGCGAGGAGCCGGCGCACAGCGCGGCCGCAGTGGTGCAAGCGGACCTCGCGTGGGCAGTGGCTGGGTCCAATTGCATTTCAGCAGGCGTTCACCGGATTCCAACACAGCGAACGATCAACCGTAGCTCCCCTCCAAGCGCACTGATATCAGAGCCGACGTGGGTTAAAAAAACATTTATTTCAAAATGCTATAACTTCGGAACGATATATCTATTTTTAATTCCGTCTGCACCGGTGTGTTCTACACGATGAGGTAAACAAAACTAGACTCAACATGCATATGTTTCAAAGTTTTTTTTTCTAGTAGTAATTTATGTATATTAAATTATAACATATAACTTATAACTTACAAATTATGCATAAAAGTTGTATTGATTACTTTATGTACACAAGTTGTATAGAATAACTTATGTAAACAAGTTGTGTTTCATAATTTTGTATATAAGTTATGTTTCACATTTTGTGTTTCTAAGTTTTGATACAAGTTATAAGTTAATTCATTTTTTTTTTTTTGTGTTTGCAAGTTTTGTTATAAGTTATAAGTTAGTTCATTCCTTTCTGTTAATATCTTTTTGTAAATGAATTGTGTTTCATAACTCTTGTGTTTTCATGCTTTCGTATAAGTCATATGTTATAAGTTATACGTTATAAATTATATGTTTTAAGTTAGTGCGTATAAATTATTGTTAAAAAAATTTCTTTCGAAATATATGCAAGTGGGGTTTAGTTTTATTTGCCTTATCGCGTAAAACACACAGGTGCAAACAAAATTAAAAATGGATACACCATTTAAAAGTTATAGCATTTTAAAATAAATATTTTGCTTTTTCTGGGTTGTGTCAATGCTGATGTCATACACAGAGAAAGGGAACAAGAGCGGGAGAGGGGTGAGGGGTGCACGGGATGGGTGCTTCCTAAAAGGAAAAGAGGTGGATTTTTTTTTCAAAAAAAGAAACTATTGCATGTCTGAAAATTGTTCGTTGCTTTTGAATTGGGTGATCGTTCGCTAATTAGTGCCCTGGCGGCTGGAACCACGGTGTATCCTAGGTGCGAGCTGCGGTAAGGGCAGTCTCAGTCGGAGTTTCATCTTTGTTTTTTTCTGTATTTAATAAGTTGTTGCATAAGCGCTTTTGATGATGTAGCAACATTTTTAAGAAGAGAGAGAAGAAATGAGTTTCACGAGAATAAAGATCTTTTGGCACGATTACCAACTCTATATGAGTCATGAAA